CTGTCAACCTTTTAAGTCATCTTTGAGCCACATCCATTGTGGAGTGTACTTTACTGTATAATTTCATGTAAATCAAAAGTCATTACAAGATATAGACACAATAAAAAATTAATTTCTCTCCTATACAAAAAAGCAAAAATACCAGTAATAAAATAATAAAAAGCATGCATGAATTAATATTGAGGAAAGAATACAAGTTAAAGGGTACTAACCCAAGTTGCCTTTTGAATTATTGGGTTTGTATATTAGTTTCCTACAAAAAACACACACAGACTGAATGCCACATATTGCAGTTAGGTTGACATAATATGGAATCATTTTTCAGCTTTAGAAAGTGAATTTTTCCATTTCACTTTTCTAGCTCAAGTAACTTAAGTGTTACACTAGCAAAATGCATCCATGTTTGCTCCTGGCTCTGAACCACAGCTAATATCAACACAACTGTAATGGACTAATGACTTTGGAAAACTCTTACATTTCCTTTGTAAAAGCCTTTTTCTATCATGTGGCATGCTAACTTCAAGGGAAAATCCTCAGCAAAAAATCAACCACACCACTTCACATCATATTATCAGTACCAGTCCAAAAGAAAATATGAATTGTAACCACAACAGTTTTCATCATGCTCCCAGTTTTCACTCTAGTGACAATACACATCCGCGTGAAACCTTAGTAATCCTAAATTGTTTCAGACAAATTCATTTTGTGCTTGATAACAAGCATGCAGATGATTTATGACATGAAAAGCTCAAGGCTTGGTACATCAAACTGAGGCCAGGCCTTAAATTTAAGATATCATAACAATTTCCCATTTCAATGACTCCCCAGTAAATTATGAAGAAAACCTGGGGCACTAGGCTGCAATATACCATAGCATAGCATTTAAACCTAATTGCACCATTTTCATGAACACATACAATCATCATCACCGGATTACCAGTCTACATTTGTTAGAGATCAAATTTCTCTTATTTTCCTTTTCTATTTCTTTCACATTTTTTATAAAAAAGTTACAAACTTTGTGGCAAGTAATAAAAGAGAGAAGACTAAGCCTAACAAAATATTGCAAGGTCTAAATACCAATGGGGTGGTCGTCTATGATTAATTAGGATAATCTACAATAATAACTGCCTGAGGCCTCAAGCTTCGCAACACTCCATCTTTCTTCGCTCATCAATTTCCTATTCTGTCACATCTATAAGCTTTCTGCAATGCTGAATTTTCCTCTTTCAAATTCCTTTTGAAAACGAGCCTTTTTTTTCAGAGAACTAGATGGGCCTTTTAGGAAGAGGAGAGGCTGCTATAGTAGAAAATATAGTAGCATTTCTAATATGAGAAAGTCTAAACAATAAAGAATTTAGGATCTAATACTTTTCAAAACTTTTATGAAGGGAATTTAAATATCTCATCAATTAATCTTAATTATAATTAATATTGTTTAGTTTTCTCTTTAAGATTTAAGTTACTTATATTAGAAAATTTCATAATTTATTATTATTTAGTATTGGTCACTATAAGGTTGTTGTTCTCACACTAGACATCATGATAATATGAAAGTAGCGTTCTCTCTGTTATTACACTTATATTTTTCTCCCATCTCTTTCTATCTGATTTATTCCATTTATTCTCTACCATCACTCATCTATTTGTCCTACATCTGCAAAGATGAGGGAATGATTACCCATGGGAAAGTCTCCTATCCATTTGTCTTCCCAAAGAAAACCTTTCCATCCCTACACCTAAGGAGTGTAAGTAAAAGTAGGAAACTCCTTAGAGTTAGCTTTCCAATGACATTAGGATTTGTTACTTATACATGAAATCAATAGTGTTACACCAACAACATTAAGGATATAAGAACTAGTCAAGTAAAACATTAAAAGAACTCAATTTTAATCTCTGTGAGTTTACCGTAACCGTATCCCTTAACTGACATTTAGAACTCATTAGTAGATACATTAAATGATAAAAATTCAATTAACCAAAGAAATGAACAAGTGAGAAGAAAAGGAAATTACCAAATGAAGAGTAGCTGGATAGCACAATTATATGGGCAGTGCACGTTTGATTGCATCCAAAGAGGATTACTACTTTGGAGGCCAAGTAGGAGTAGGGTACGATGAAGAAAGGATTTGAAGGAATTGCTTCCCCTACATACATGTATATTTCAACAAGTTGAGAACTAAAGAAGAATACTTCAATAGGATGCATTATAAAAATGTCAGAACTGCCGGAACTTTATAAGTATTTGAGCTGTATGACTAAAAGAAAATGATGCAGATAAATAACGTCAGAGCTGTGCCATAACTTAATATGTAAACTTAGCTGTATGATATAGCATGAAAATAACTACATGGCTCATAATAATAAAGGAAATGTAACTAATGCAATCAAGGATATTAGAAACCAATTTCAAAAAAATAGCAATCGAAGAAGCTGAGAATATCAATCAATCATTTCAACTCAAATCATGTCCTGCCCAAATCAGTTATTCTAGCAAGGACCTGCTATGTTTCCTAAAATTGCCACAATAGCAGGAAGCAAACTTGAAAATTCAATAAATGTTATTATGGCTATAAACTACGACATGGAGATAACAGTTTGATTTGTGATCTAAAAATAAAATTCTTGCCAAGAGGCCATTAGTTGACGCTTCGATATCCCTTATTTATAGGAACAGGCAAACAAAATATGTACCACAACAAAAACGTTAAGGGTAAAATAAAACAACAATATAAATAGGCGGAAATAAAAGATAAAGGATAAGGAGTAACAAATGATTTAATTCAGTATGGAGAGCAAAGGGCAAAGCAACAATGGGACACTGTTGCCTCTAAATGATCCACAGGGTACATGCAATATATATTTCAGCATCAATATAAATCAAAATGCATCATTGCCCAGTGTTCAAAATTTACTTACAGTTTAACAATAACGACTTCCAGAACTACAATAACATTTATCAACTCTTTACCATTTCAGGCATGTACTCTATTTCATGGTTTCCAGCAGACCAAATCCAAGGCTGATATGCTGCACTTTGCTCAACAAACCGACCCAAGAATCCCAACCATGCCAACATCATATACTGATATCTATCAGCATAAGAAAGATCGCCAACAAATAACACAGTTTGTCCTCCACTCTGCATGTAATGCTTAAGAGTGGATAGAGAATTATAGTCTGCCCCAAGTCACCTGAAATTTATCATAAAAGGAATTGTGAAAAAGCGATATAGAAGAGAGATATCAATAGAGTCTGAAATACTTGCACACGTGCATGGCATGTATGCTCGCATACACACACACTGAGAAAAAAGAGAAAAGAGATCTGTGTGTGTACTTTTAATTCCATTCAGATAAAAACAGGACAAATATTTTTGGAGCAGCTTATTGTTAACATATTAAGGAAAAGCATTAATTGTTAGAGGAAAAGGGATGCAACTCACCAATGATTCCAAATTTGTAAGAAGCATCTGGATCAATCTTTGGAGGTGTTTGAAACCAATTCTCGAGAAGATCACCACTCCCAATTTTGTAATAGTACTTGGTATCATACTGAAACCCGAAACAATTCAAGGAACAAAAATTCAAAGCAGAAGGCTATTAAAGTTTAAAGATATTACTTTGTCATTCCATGCAAACCATAAATTTTATGCAGAAGGTTTTACCCACACTGATTACCCGACTTTCATTGTTATTAAGTTTGGCATGATAGCAGATAACCAATAACTTTTCTCATCTACTTACCATTTCTAAGAAGCTCTGGAAATGATATAAACCTATATATGTGTTGCTATTATATGTGTAAGTATAATCTCCAATTACAACTTTGAGTAAGCATTCCATTTCCATATTAGAGGAAATTTAAGCCATGATATCAACGAAACTTCCATAATCAATTACCTCAAGACCCTCTATCAAGCATTGATGGATATAGCCAGACTTGTATTTATAAAAGGTGTAGTTTGTCATTGTCCCCTCTACAGAAAAATCATATTGTTTCTTGATGTGCCATACTGCGCTTTGCTGGACCCTGGTTCATCAAAGTTACCCATGAAATAATCACAGCCTTCCCATTATAATCACCTTGGGTTATATGCACCTGCAAATGAAGTATAGAAGGAACTACATGTAAGGGACAAAGTTAGGGGGAGATTGAAAAAAATATTTCTCATCTAGTGCGACTTTTTTTATTTACGATCTTGTGTCTATAAACATTACAAAAAGCAATATGTTTGATTATGCATTTGAATCATTCTGCTCACTTGCATAGCTTTTGATGAACTCTAACACCGCCAGATTTGATAATGCAGGACTATATGGGGCGATGCATCTTGACATTGACAAGGGTTATACTGGAAGGGGAATTCAAAGACAGCTTCGAGCTAGACAGAGCTAAATCAGGGAAAATAAATTTGCACCTCAAGTGGATGCCACAGCCAATTTATCGAGATTCCTGAGTAATGTGTCATTGGAAATCTTAGCATACAGTGTATTTAGCCACATGCAGGTATACACCACATAACTCACCTAAACCATATGCAATCACTCATTGTAGATAATTTTTTTTGAGCTGACATTAGGCATGATGTAAAATGACATTTTATTGAAAGTAAAACATACTGTTGCGGGAGAAAATGTTCAGCCTAATGTTTTATAAACAGGGTTTTGATGCTTCAAATTAATAATTTCTCTCCGTTCTAGAGGGTGAAGTTTGTTTTGCATTTGCAGAAAGTATTTTAGAAGTTGCTGTTTAAATTTTTCGTTGAGGTGTCAGCCTCATTCAATAAATTTTACCAGTGGAAGAGTATGAAAGCTGATTATGGTAATTTGCACAGGGCAAATTGGATGATCAGTGCCTCCCATCTGTACAAAATATAATTTGATCATTATCTCAGGCTACTTCAGATACTAGTTAAGTTCATACAAGGAAACACTCTGAATTTAGGATGTTAATTCTTTTTCTCTCCATATCAAAGACCTCAATCCTGACTCCACGGCAATCTTTTCCAGCAACAAATATGAATTTGGCTCTTGCCCCTCCCATGCAAAAAGGGTAAAGGAGTGAAAATGTGAAATACAGATGGCTCTTCCAGTAGAATAGCTGGATTATACAAAATTATTTTCTTTGAAACTTGCTGAAAAAGAAGCAGCAACAATACATGTTTCTTATAATAATAAATTGAATGTACTCATTTCTCCATATAGGTCAAATACAGTTCGTACATTTGACTGATTTTATGGACAAAAAACGCATACTATTTACACAGAAAAGGCAGAAACAGTTTGTGGGATTTCAGACGCGTGATGGCTGCTCAATCTTTCTTTTTAGCTTCATTCCCCTTGATGAGTGATATCAACTTGCCATACCTGAGGTGCTCGAAGTCTAATCAGTAAGTAGCCATTCGGCTGCCAACACTCCTTCTATAATGCTTCCTCAGTTTTCTCCTTCTAAGATTACTTGCCCTGAATGATGTAATCCAAGAATGGTGTAAAAGTGGTCTCATCATAAAAAAAAAAAAAAAAAAAAACTAAGTTTGCATCACAACATTACTTGTTGCTTTTGCATATTAATACTAATAAGAGGCAACTGGTTTTTTTCCCTTTTGAATTTCAGAGCATGTTAACCCTGTTAATAAAAAAGTGCACTGCTACTGTTGATTGACCCAAGACCAGTTAGTTCAGTATGGAGCTAAAAGCTCTGACAAATATGTAACATTCAGTAGATGATTGCAGATTTACAGAGGCTTCTAAAGCATAGTATAACAATTATAAAAAAGACATAGAAGTATATGCTTTCCATAATGTATTCCTAATTTCTCTTGGATTAACAGACCTTCCTCACACAAGGAAACAGGTTTCACGTAAACGTATATTATCTATCACTATAAGGCTTTTACATGCAACGTTATCACAAGGACAAACCATCTTTAAACAGATTTTTTAGATGACCACATATCCTCAAAAAGAACAGGTATTGAAGAGAGGCAATTCGCATATTTTACTACTACTTTATATTATTTTAATTTTATGTTCTCTCCACAAGAAAATTCTTTATTAGCAGGAAAAAAATGAAAGTCCGTGGCTCCAGTTAATCAAATATAATGAACAGACAGATTTGGATCAATGTGTTCAATGAGGTAGACATGTCAGGTACACAAAACTTTTAAGTTCCCATCAATTAGCCAAGAAAAGCAACAATGATTTAGTTTTACTCACCAGTACTGATTGTGCAATACGAACGCGTCAGTTGCCACTTTTTTCCCATCATCATTGCGGTTCCAGTTATAGAATGCATGTGTCCTGTTTTTAATCTCCAGTGTAGAATGCCCATAGCTGGCTTCACGGAATGCGGAATAATCCGGTTGTGGGTCTCTAAACCTACAGAACAAAAGGAATATTTTTACAGATTGACCAACAATGATGACTTACTGGCAGAAAATAAAGAATAAATTTGATTCTCTAACTGAGAACCATTGGCAATGACACTTCTTCAAAAGCACGGCACATTTATCAGTCATGCAATCCAACTCACCTTCCAGCTAGACCTTCTTGATTTCCTCCATCCCCAACAGTGATGTAAACAGGGGCAGATTTGTCTGCTACAGGATAACGCTCACCACTGGTTATGTTGTAGCGTACATTTGAAATTCGGTACTGAAATCAAAAACTGTCTTAGAACATCCAATCTAGAAGCAGATAATAGCTGCAGAATGGACCAATATGTAATGTAGTATGTCGACATCTAAAATATAAGCCAAAAAGGTAAACTAAATAATCATCAGCAGAATGGTGTCATTTACTATTTTGTTTAGTTGATGACAATAAAAATTTATAGCTATTTCTAATCAATACTTGGTGAGAACTAAATTCCATCCAAGCATAATAACATCATAAGTAACAAACACAGACAAATAATACACACATAAGTTGGGGGATCCCAAAAAACTTCCCCACCCTTGACACCACTAAACAATTTATTTGTGTATGCAACAAATGGGAAATTTATAAGTTAAGAACCATACCGATCTTTCATAAGCATGAACATGGCCAGCAAAGATTACATCAACTCTATATTTTATAAACCAACTCTCAAAGACTGCTCGCATACTTTCACCTTCCATGAAGTGTGCTTCATTACTGTTGTAGATTGGGACATGCATGAGAACAATTAGCCAAGGTGTCTTCTCCCTGTCAACCTTTTTAAGTTCATCTTTGAGCCACATCCATTGTGGAGTGTACTTTACTGTATAATTTCATGATAAATCAAACGTCATTACAAGATATAGAGACACAATAAAAAATTAATTTTTCCCTCCTATAGGAAAAAGCAAAAATACCAGTAATAAAATAATAAAAAGCATGCATGAATTAATATTGAGGAAAGAATACAAGTTAAAAGGGTCACTAACCCCAAGTTGCCTTTTGAATTATTAGGGTTTGTATATTAGTTTCCTACAAAAAACACACACAGACTGAATGCCACATATTGCAGTTAGGTTGACATAATATGGAATCATTTTTCAGCTTTAGAAAGTGAATTTTTCCCATTTCACTTTTCTAGCTCAAGTAACTTAAGTGTCTACACTAGCAAAATGCATCCATGTTTGCTCCGGGCTCCTGAACCACAGATAATATCAAACCCAACTGCTAATGGACTAATTGACTTTGGAAACCCTCTTCCATTTCCTTTTGTAAAAGCCTTTTTCTATCATGTGGCATGCTAACTTCAAGGGAAAATTCCTCAGCAAAAAATCAACCACAACCACTTCACATCATATTATCAGTACCACGTCCAAAAGAAAATATGAATTGTAACCACAACAGTTTTCATCATGCTCCCAGTTTTCACTCTAGTGACAATACACATCCTGCGTGAAACCTTAGTAATCCTAAATTGTTTCAGACAAATTCATTTTGTGCTTGATAACAAGCATGCAGATGATTTATGACATGAAAAAGCTCAATGGCTTGGCTACATCAAACTGAGGCCAGGCCTTAAATTTAAGATATCATAACAATTTCCCATTTCAATGACTCCCCAGTAAATTATGAAGAAAACCTGGGGCACTAGGCTGCAATATACCATAGCATAGCATTTAAACCTAATTGCACCAAATTTTCCATGAACACATACAATCATCATTCACCAGATTACCAGTCTATATTTGCTAGAGACCAAATTTCTGTTCATTTTCCTTCTCTATTTCTTTCACATTTTTTATAAAAAAGTTATAAACTTTGTGGCAAGTAATAAAAGAAGAGAAGACTAAGCCTAACAAATCATATTGCAAGGTCTAAATTACCAATGGGGTGGTCGTCTATTGATTAATTAGGATAATCTTACAATAATAACTGCCTGAGGCCTCAAGCTTCTGCAACACTCCATCTTTCTTCGCTTCATCAATTTTCATATTTTCTGTCACATCTATAAGCTTTCTGCAATGCTGAATTTTCCTCTTTCAAATTCCTTTTGAAAACTGAGCCTTTTTTTAAAGAGAACTAGATGGGCCTTTTAGTAAGAGGAGAGGCTGCTATAGTAGAAAATATAGTAGCATTTCTAATATGAGAAAGTCTAAACAATAAAGAATTTAGGATCTAATACTTTTCAAAAGTACTTTATGAAGGGAATTTAAATATCTCATTCAAATTAATCTTAATTTAATAATTTAATATTTGTTTAGTTTTCTTCTTTAAGATTTAAGTTACTTATTATTAGAAAATTTTCATAATTTATTATTTTATTTAGTATTGGTCATTATAAGGTTGTTATTCTCACACTAGACATCATGATAATATGAAAGTTGAGCGTTCTCTCTGTTATTACACTTATATTTTTCTCCCATCTCTTTCTATCTGATTTTATTCCATTTATTCCTCTACCATCACTCTATCCTATTTGTCCTACATCTGCAAAGATGAGGGAATGATTTACCCATGGGAAAGTCTCCTATCCATTTGTCTTCCCAAAGAAAAATCCTTTCCATCCCTACACCTAAGGAAGTGTAAGTAAAAGTAGGAAACTCCTTAGAGTTAGCTTTCCAATGACATTAGGATTTGTTACTTATACATGAAATCAATAGTGTTACACCAACAACATTAAGGATATAAGAACTAGTCAAGTAAAACCATTAAAAGAACTCAATTTTAATCTTCTGTGAGTTTACCGTAACCGTGTCCCTTAACTGACATTTACAACTCATTAGTAGATACATTAAATGATAAAAATTCATATTAACCAAAGAAATGAACAAGTGAGAAGAAAAAGGAAATTACCAAATGAAGAGTAGCTGGATAGCACAATTATATGGGCAGATGCACGTCTGATTGCATACCAAAGAGGATTACTACTTTTGGAGGCCAAGTAAGGAGTAGGGTACCGATGAAGAAAGGATTTGAATGGAATTGTTTCCCCCTACATACATGTATATTTCAACAAGTTGAGAACTAAAGAAGAATACTTTAGTAGGATGCACTATAAAAATGTCAGAACTATGCTGGAACTTTATAAGTAATTTGAGCTGTATGACTAAAAGAAAATGATGCACGATAAATAACGTCAGAGCTGTGCCATAACTTTATATGTAAACTTAGCTGTATGATATAGCATGAAAATAACTACATGGCTCATCATAATATAAGGAAATGTAACTAATGCAATCAAGGATATTAGAAACCAATTTCAAAAAAATAGCACATCGAAGAAGCTGAGAATATTCAATCAATCATTTCAACTCAAATTCAATCATGTCCTGCCCAAATTCAGTATATTCTAGCAAGGACCTGCTATGTTTCCTAAAATTGCCACAAATAGCAATGGAAGCAAACTTGAAAATTCAATAAATGTTATTATGGCTTATAACCTACGACATGGAGATAACAGTTTGATTTGTGATCTAAAAATAAAATTCTTGCCAAGATAGGCCATTAGTTGACGCTTCGATATCCCTTTATTTATAGGAACAGGCAAACAAAATATGTACCACAACAAAAACGTTAAGGGTAAAATAAAACAACAATATAAACTGGCGGAAATAAAAGATAAAGGATAAGGAGTAACAAAATGATTTAATTCAGTATGGAGAGCAAAGGGCCTAACAGCAACAATGGGACACTGTTGCCTCTAAATGATCCACAGGGTACATGCAAATAATATATTTCAGCATCAATATAAATCAACATGCATCATTGCCCCAATATTCAAAATTTACTTACAGTTTAACAATAACGACTTCCAGAACTACAATAACATTTATCTAACTCTTTACCATTTCAGGCATGTACTCTATTTCATGGTTTCCAGCAGACCAAATCCAAGGCTGATATGCTGCACTTTGCTCAACAAACCGACCCCAAGAATCCCAACGTATGCCAACATCATTATACTGATATCTATCAGCATAAGAAAGATCGCCAACAAATAACACAGTTTGTCCTCCACTCTGCATGTAATGCTTAAGAGTCGATAGAGAATTACAAGTCTGCCCCAAGTCACCTGAAATTTATCATAAACGGAATTGTGAAAAAGCGATATAGAAGAGAGATATCAATAAGAGTCTTGAAATACTTGCACACGTGCATGGACATGTATGCTCGCATACACACACACTGAGGAAAGAGAGAAAAGAGATCTGCGTGTGTACTTTTAATTCCATTCAGATAAAAACAGGAACATAAATCATTTTTGGAGCAGCTTATTGTTATACATATTTAAGGAAAAGCATTCTAATTTTGTTAGAGGAAAAGGGATGCAACTCACCAATGATTCCAAATTTGTAAGAAGCATCTGGATCAATCTTTGGAGGTGTTTGAAACCAAAATTCTCGAGAAGCGTCACCACTCCCAATTTTGTAATAGTACTTGGTATCATACTGAAACCCAAAACAATTCAAGGAACAAAAATTCAAAGCAGAAGGCTATTAAAGTTTAAAGATATTACTTTGTCATTCCATGCAAACCATAAATTTTATGCAGAAGGGTTTAACCACACTGATTACCCGACTTTCATTGTTATTAAGTTTGGCATGATAGCAGATAACCAATAACTTTTCTCATCTACTTACCATTTCTAAGAAGCTCTGGAAATGATATAAACCTATATATATGTTTGCTTGATATATATGTGTAAGTTTATAATCTCCAATTACAACTTTGAGTAAGCATTCCATTTCCATATTAGAGGAAATTTAAGCCATGATAACAACGCAACTTTCCATAATCAAATTACCTCAAGACCATCTATCAAACATTGATGGATATAGCCAGACTTGTATTTATAAAAGGTGTAGTTTGTCATTGTCCCCTCTACAGAAAAATCATATTCGTTCTCTGATGTGCCATACTGCACTTTGCTGGACCCTGGTTCATCAACAGTTACCCATGAAATAATCACAGCCTTCCCACTATAATCACCTTGGATTATATGCACCTGCAAATGAAGTAAAGAAGGATATTACACGTAATTGGACAAAGTTAGGAGGAGATTGAAAATAAAGAAACACAATAACACAACACATAGGTGGTGAAACAATGCATCATCCTCTGCTCACTTGAATTTTGTTTTGTACAAACACAGTTCTTTTTCAGAACACTAATAACTTAAAATTGACCCCGAACAAACGGACTTAAAACTACTTCACAGCCATTCACTATCAAGTAGTAATAGAACAAGAATTATTTAGATCCCATTCACTTATATTCCTCTTGACTATCATAATTGTAGAAAAATCTCTTCAATGATCGCTAGAAAATGCTGAAATGAAATTAAAGATTGCACAAGTCCATGCCATTCAAATAGCACAAAAACCAATTGAAAATGAAAATTTCTCACTTGTTGCGGTGCATTATGACCCTCAGGAACAGCAAATGCTTCATTATCAAGAGGGATATCAATGGACGGCCACTCTGATCGAATAAAAGTACTTGTAATCCCTGCACTCCCATATTTCACATTCTTCAACAACACAAACGATATTAATATTACATTGAACAACCAGGAATAGAACTGCCTCATTTTAACCTCCACCAGTCCACCCTGATTGCTCTGTTTAATCAATCAGTTAACTGCATCGAAGAACAAATCAAATTGTCAAAAAAGAACACAACTTTAACCCACACTAATGATAGACACATCAATTCATCCATAAGACACAAACCCTTTTCATATTAATCCCAAAAGCAAAAATAAATAAATGAAATCAAAATGTATGCGTGAACCCAGAATGTGTAAGATATATGAGGTGATATTACCAATTAAGTTTGTAGGATTAAAATTCAAAGAAAAATACATAAGTTCAGGAACTGATTTCTTATGTTAAAGTTTAGATATGAAGAAGTACCTTAAAAGCATTGAAGATGGAGGAGAGAAAATGATCGATTATCAGCTGGTCTTTGCTTAAATGCGACTGAAGAAAAGACGAGGACGGGCGCATCTTAGCACTAACCACGCTTCGTGACGTGGCTTTGCGTAGGTTAAAAGAGATAATGATTTGTTTTCTTGTTTATTGTTGGTTTGGTCGCACGGGAATATTCCTCTTATAGGGAGTTGGGTACGTGGTAAACAGAGATTGGATAATAGGTAATTAATCCTCCTCAGGCACGTGCTTTGCACATGTAGCTAACTGTTTTATTTTATCTTGCCAGTCTTATCTTGCTAGATAATAATTCTTGTATTATAATTCTCTGTATCAAAATTTTATATGTAATAAGGTTAATATATGTATAGAGATTGGATAATAGGTGATGAATCCTCCTCAGGCACGTGCTTTGCACATGTAGCTAACTGTTTTATTTTATCTTTCCAGTCTTATCTTAGTAGAATAATAATTATTGTATCATAATTCTCTGTATCAAAATTTTATATATAATAAGGTTAATATATATATATATATAGAGAGAGAGAGAGAGAGAGAGAGAGAGAGAGGCACGTAGGCACATGATAGCTTATGGTTGAACTCACTGAATTTTTTAAAAATTTTAAAAAAGTATTAATAGTTTATAGATTTTATAATTTTAATCTCACTTAATTTCATGTCGACCCTACAAAATAAATTATTAATTAATACTTTTTAAACTTTTTTTTCTTGATTTTCTTTTTTTGCTCTCCTATTATATTTTTCCTTTGGTTGGATACTCAAGAAAAGCTACTCCCTTAAATTACAAGGTAAGATAATACTAATTTTATTTTTATTTTTTTACTTAAAAAATTAATTCTTTTCTTTTAACTTTCTTAATTGATGAAAGATCATGAGTTACGGGTTTTTGTTGAGTTTCATAAATGAGTTTGAAATAATTCTTAGATTTTAATGTGGGTTTTGATTTAATCTTGTTTATGTTGAGGTATGGGTTAATTAATTGTTGTTTTAAGCTGGGTTTGATAAATTGTGATTAGTTATTGAATTAATTTTGAATATAGTTTAAAGAATTGATGAAACCCTAAGTTGTAGAGATATGGGGATTTGGTTTAATTTTGACATATTGGTTAACTGCTTGATATTTATAGTTAGATTTAATGAGTTTTTATGGGTTTATGAGTTGAATTTTATTGGGTTAATAGAAATTGTTTGAAAAACCTAAGTTATGAGTTGAATTTTGATAAATTTGTGTTTTTTTTTAATTGTAATTGCAAATAAATTATACTTCTGATAATAATTTTTTATTTTATTTTTTTAGTTATGTACAAGTTTTTTTATCAAAAGAAAGTTTTCTAATGGAACCATCAATTGAACAAAATATAAGGCGCATGATAGTGTTCACAATAAACCTATAGAATCTAGTTCAAGACAAACATATATAAAGCTTAACTTAAGTAGTCTTCCTACAAATCCTGGATTGAGGATTAAAATTTTAGAATATCATCTTAATGATAGAGACAAAGTGAGAAATGAATACTTGCAAAAAGGACCTTACCAACCACACAATCATAATTTTAAAAAGCGAGCAATTGGGAATTTAATGTATCGTTTTAATCCCATTTGATTTAGAGAATATGCAAATTGGTTGGAGTATAGTGTAGAAAGGAGAGTGTTTTTGTTTTTGTTGTTATCTTTTTAGACATGAAATTAGAATTGATATTACCTGTTACAATTGCAAGTGTTGAAAGAGCATTTTCTGCGATGAAGATTGTGAAAAATTGACTACGAAATCAAATGAGAGATCAATTGTTAAATGATTGTCTTATTGCGTATATTAAGAGAGAGATACTTGATGGAATTGTCAATGAAGCAATTATGTAACGTTTTCAGAATATGAAAAATCATCGAGAACCATTGTAGAATTGATAATTTGGTATATATAAATTTTAAAAGTGCATTTTTTATGTTTATTACTTCAGTATATATTTTATTGTAAATTTACCAACTTTGATGTTTTGAACCCACTAACTCATAATCCTGACTACGTCCCTGTATATATATATTAAGAGAAGTTTGAAAGTGTTTCTCTAGTAATTTGAGGAACCAAGCATTTGTCTTTAGACTTCATGGAAGTATTTTAAATTCAAAACTCAGTAACTTAATTGAAAGAACTTAAAGACTTATAAAACTAGTTTAAGATTTATACACTAGTTTAAAATCTCATTCGCTAATTTACGCAGTATGTGACAAATACACCATGTTCTCATGAGATTGTATCACATGATTTTCTTTGTAGCTTTTTAGTGCTCAAAACCTAGATTACTTTGATATTTGCCTAACATTCCAATTATATATGTAATGTCAAGTCCTGTGCAGACATGAGCATACATTAATCTTTTAACTACAAAAGCACAATGAATGATTTTCATTCGTTTCCACTCCAAATCATTTCTTGGGCATTGTTCCAGACTGAACTTCTCACCTTTGATAATAGGTGAAATGCCAACTGAACAATCTTTCATACAAAATCTATACAAAAATTTATTGAAATAGGTTTCCTAAGACAATCCTAATGTCCTTTGAGATTGGTCTCTTTCAATCTTTATAAAGAAGTTTCGCCCATATCTCATTTAACCTCATGAAGCAAGTTCAAATCACTTAATGCAAAGAAAAATATCACCTACTTATAAGACTAAAGAAAATTATGTTGTTCCATGATATTTTATGTAGAACCAAAAGAAGAAATAACATTACGAAACTTAAATACCATTGATGAAAAACTTGTTTTAGGCCGTATATATTTCTTAAGTCTATAAACCAAGTGGTAATTTCCCTCTATAATGGAACCTTCTAGTTGTTTTATATGAAACTCTTCCTTCAGATCTCCCTTGAGGAAGGTTGTTTTCACATCCACTTAATACAATATCATATAANAGAACTTAAAGACTTATAAAACTAGTTTAAGATTTATACACTAGTTTAAAATCTCATTCGCCAATTTACGCAGGATGTGACATATATAGAGCTGGGCAAGGGACCGATCCCTTGCGGGCCCAAGCCTGGGCCCGTTTGGGACTGGTCCCAAATAGGACCAGTCACTCATGGGCCTGGGACCGGTCCCAGGCCCATGAGAAAAACTAGGACCCGGACCAGGCCTTAGGCTTGGTCGGGACTGGTCCCATGGTCCTAGGACCGGTCCCATGGGTCTTGGATAATTTCATTTTCCCCCCTCAATTTTTTTATATTTTGGGGGCAAGACGAAATTTTATAGGGGGTTTTTAGTATTTTTTAGGGGTAAAATTTATAAATTTTTAAAATTTTTTAAACCTGGAAGATTTTTTTTTTAATAAATTTTGTAAAATTTAATTTTAGCCCTCGTAATTTATATCTATTTAAATTAACAGGGGGTTTTATGTAATTTGGTAGGGGACTACATTAAAAAAATACAAATTTTTTTGGGCCCAGGCCTGGGACCTGGGCCTTGGAGGAGGGCCCAGTGGAGGGCCCGGGCCCTCCTCCTTAGGCCTGGTCCCGTTTTGGGACCAGGCCTCCTAGGTCCGACCGGTCCTCTCAAGGACTGGTCCTAGGACCGGGTTTTAGAGCTGGGCTTTTGGGCCCGGTCCCAAATGCCCAGCTCTAGATAAATACACCATGTTCTCATGAGCCTAGTTAGTAAATACGCGTTTTATACGCGAATTATACGGTCAATCGTATAATTTGCGTATAAAACACGTATTTACGTATTTTATAAAGGACTGCCGAATTATTCGCAAATTATTGGAGTATCCGCAAATTATTGGAGTATCCGTATAATTTGCGAATAATTCGCAAATTATTCACGAATTTTTGAAAAAAAAAAAGAAAAAAAAAATAATTGAAACGACGTCATTTTAGTGGGGAAGAAGAAGTCAGTGGTAAGGCATAAGAGAAGAGATTGGAAAAGGGGGAATAAAAAAATACCCCTCTCAAAGACATCCACTTTCCCGCCCATTCCCCCACACCTGACACCTTTACATTTTAAACTCAAAAGTAATACGGAGATTTCACGTTTTCACCTACCTCTTTTGTATTCATTTTGTGATGAATAATTTTCTTGAATTAAATAGTAATTTGCTTAATTATGATATTGAGTCAAAACACATTTCATATTTTAAATTATTTCCATGCTATCTAATAAATTAGATTGGATTAATGAAATTAAAATAATAATTTATTATGAAAAAAAAAAACTGTCATATATTATAGGTATAAAATAATAGTTAGACTATTGTAACACTAATCTTTTATATAGATTTGTGAGACAAAATTTTAGTTTTTGATTTAAATAATTTTAAGGGATAATGGGAAGTTAAAATTGGTTGCATTAATATCAAACTTATCAAGTTTTAAATTAATAAAGAATCATGGCTAAATATTGTGTTTGAGTCTGGAAACTATAATTTAAATATCAGTTATATATTGTATATTTGTGTTATGGTTAATTGAATACTTTGCATTTGAAATACTAATTGATTTTAGTCAAGTAATCCATAAAAGTATTAAAACTAAGATTGATATTGCTGTATTTTTCAAAACGTATTATTGACAATGCACCATATTAAACCGTATATACTCGGACCGATTTTTCCGTATCTGAATTTTATGGCCGAATTTTTATAAACGTATTTTTCACTGTTGCCATATTATACCCGTAAAATTCCCGTACCATTTTTTGCCGTACCTGTATTTACTAACTAGGCTCATGAGATTGGTCACATGATTTTCTTTGTAGCTTTCTAGTGCTCAAAACCTAGATTACTTTGATATTTGCCTAACATTCAATTATATATGTAATGTCAAGTCCTGTACAGACATGAGATACATTAATCTCTTAACTATGAAAGCACATGAATGCTTTTCATTTCTTCCACTCCAAATCATTTCTTGGGCACATTCCAGACTGAACTTCTCACCTTTGATAATAGGTGAAACACCAACTGAACAATTTTCATACAAAATCTATATAAAAATTATTGAAATAGGTTCTTAAGACAATCCTAATGTCCTTTGAGATTGGTCTCTGTAAAACCTCTCCCTAGTCAAGTATTTCTAAGTACCTTGGCCATTAAGA